CAATATAACAAAGAGTGAAAAATTTAAGGGGGTCTGAATACTTTCCGTACCCACTGTATATTACATCTTATCATATCCTGTGATACTCCGATTCAAAGAGATAATTCATACATTATATATTATTAAAAGAACAAATCAATGTTATTTCCTTTTTAAAAAGGGTTTCTTTTGTTTCTTCTGAGTCCCACCTCCTCTCATATTCGAGATCTCCCATGGAGCCGTTCATTAGCTGATTTGGTGTCCATTTCAGAGTCATGCAGTCAGCCGTCTGGTGTAGAGAGAGGTACCCTGGGATTGCTTCCATATCATCCCTCTGAAAACACCACAACAGAAGCCCACGTTATGAAGCAACTATAAACCTATAATCAATAATAAATGCTGCTCATACTATGTTTTCAGCAACTAGTCTTTGTTTGCACTTTTTGTAATAGCTTCTCTATTTAATTGCAATAAAACCAAGTAATTTAATCTTTAGATAAAATATGCAGTCAGAAATAGTCCTCTAATGATCTGTCATAATTGACAGCTGTTTAATGCATTATTTACCGGCTGCACCAGCACGTTGTTCTTGCCGAACAGGAGGGTCGCTCTGGAATTCTGATGAAGAGACTCCACGTAGTCTCTGGCGGAGGGGGAGGGAGATGGCCTTTCATCCATACTACTACTGGAGTGTCTTTTCTGAATCTGGACCCACACATGCACACATTATTAAGAGCTGTGGGCAATCACTAACGTAATATGTTTCTACCTAAACATTACATCAAAGACTAATCTCACCAGACAATATACACAATAAACGTGATAAACACTAGCAAACAAAGTGTTATAGGAGATATTCATCTTGTTTTCCTAATAATATGCCTCTACATCTATCAGTCAAAGGTGGATAAATGTGTGGCCGCAGGTGAGTCATTAGATGTATACTTACGTCTCCTCTTTCATATATCAAAAAGGCACTCAACACCAAAAACTGGGCTTTTACAGATCACTAGCAGATATTTGTAATAAAAATACATCAGAAAACAAGCCCGGAGTGCAGTGCAGTCAGGTCTATCAGAGACGAAAAACAAGCATTGTGTGTCCTGCTGTTGTGTGGGTGTTGGCAATGGCCAGAGAGGGTGATCAGTCAGGAATCTGACCGTGCGTTTGGTAATGGAGCTGGGTAATGATGTGAAACATATCTCTTGAGTGAAGGTTCATACTCTCCTCAGAAACAGCAACTACACTCAAATACACTGACCGCAGCATGACTCTTATGGACCACCCTCTTCAGAGGTCTGTGATGGAATGAACTGCACTGATTTCAAAGGCTAAAACCTCACTGAACAAGATCAAATACACAAACTAAAAGCTCTTGCACTGAAATATTCAGATGTCATTTATTTTGCCTTTGCTTTATCTATGTTATGCAGTATGTTGTGTAAAAAAATGATGTGCAACATCCTAAACAAGCTCAACTGTCATGCATTGAAAACTAACCAAATTACACAAGATGTTGAAAGCACTGGTGCATAATACTGAAAAACAAGCCTAATTGGCTGTCACTATATATTATGACTTCAATGTGACATGCAATTGACTGACTATAAACTGCTTGTGACCCCTGACATTTCCTTGAGGCACGGTTGAAAACATCAAGGGAATTTCAAATGACCTGAACTTTCAATTTGAAATGGCACTTCCATCTCGTTCAGATGCACAAGAGCTTTCAATTTTTCTAATTTTGCCAAATGCGAACAGACTGAAAATATTAATGTTTTTATAAAATTAGCTCTCATTCTTGACCTTTTTAGGAACACATCATTTTAAATATTGCAGTGTTTATGAATTCTTGGTGTAAAGTGCCATAACCCAGAATGCTAAGATCAATATATCACCCTGCACATAATCATTTTGAAGGTGATGTATGTAATTTCTGCACAGCACCAAAGAGAAATGCACATTTACTTGTACAGTATAAACTGGGATAAGATAAAGTGTTTCAACCTACAAAAAAAATGGTAATAAACTCATTTCTACAATCACAAGTCACTCACGCAGAGAGCAGGTCTTTTTGTAGGGGAGTCTTGTCGGCAGTGACCACTGTGAATACGATGCCTTTGCACCAACTCGTCAGCTGAAGGATTGGTCCAAAAATGATCTGCCGTCTTCATTTTAGTGTACTCTAACGCACAGGGACCTACTAAAGAAGAAATAAAGTGGAAAACAGATTATCTGCACAATGCCAGCAATACAAAAGAAACAATAAGAGAAAATAGCTCCGTACCAAAACCTAGTATGCTGCCTCCCTAAATAGGCAGCTGCATTCTAAGGCAGCATCCTAGCCATCAAGAACCCTTCATTAGTGAATGATTTGAAATGTTCCACATAGGCAGCAACTCTGTGCCACACAATTAGTGCTCTACATGGTTATCATGTTGCTAAGCTAATGGCCTGGTACTATATAAGCATAAAAATAGGTAGAACAAAAATATTGTGTAAAATATTAAAGTCTTAGTTCACCCAAAAATGAAAATTCTGTCATTAATTACTCGCCTACATGTCGTTCCAAACCCGTAAGACCTTTGTTCATTTTTGGAACACAAATTAAGATATTTTTGGTGAAATCCAAGAGCTTTGTGACCCTGCATAGACAGCAATGCAACTGAAACGTTTAATGGCCCAGAAAGGAAGTAAGGACATTGAAAAAATAGTCCATGTGACATCAGTTGTTCAACAGTAATGTTATGAAGCTACAAGAATACTTTTTGTGTGCAAAGAAAACTAAAATTTCAACTTTATTCAACAATTTCTTCTCTTGATTGAGTAATTAATGACAGAATTTTAATTTTTGGGTGAACCAACCCTTTAAACTTAACTAGTGGATAATCTAAAATAACATAATATATAGATATATTTTTTTTTTCAGTAAATATTTTACTTTTCAGTATGTAATATTTCTCTTGTCCACCAGCTTTATTTTTTCCATTGAGCTTATCACTGATTTCACAAGGTTTTAAAACAGCGTAAATGACAATATGTCACCAGATGACCTGTGGCATTAATGAGAATGATTTAAAAAAAAAAAGCACGTCTACCTAACAAAGAGGCGAGGATAGGGCCGTCCACAGGATCCATTAGGATAGCCTCCTTCTCGTAAAACTTACTGAAACAACATTAAAAGTAACTTAAATTTATCATAAAGCAAGCTGGCAAGTTTGATTGTACCTGAAAGAAACGGGTCAAGCTTGCTTGTTCTTTATATCTCTATCCCACCTCTCTCACCTGCTGTTTTCCACCAGGTACAGTACAATCTTGTCCAGCACTTTCTCAATGAGTGCGGTGTGGATCCACAAGTGTCTGACAGCCTGAAGCGAGAAGTTTGGGACTTTGGGCATCTTACGGGTGCTCTCGCTGTATGAGAGAGACTGACTTCGTCTGAAGCAAAGAACAAAGTTCAACAAAACATTTTTAAAGGGGTCATATGACGTTGCTAAAAAAGAACATTATTTTGTGTATTTGGTGTAATGAAATGTGTTTATGCGG